ACCTCCCCCCAACCCATCTACCAACCTCCCCCCAACCCATCTACCAACCTCCCCCCAACCCATCTACCAACCTCCTTGTACAGCGAGTACAGGAAGGCGATGGTCTGGATGGTCTTGCCCAGCCCCATCTCGTCAGCCAGGATGCAGCTGATGCGGTGAGCCCACGAGTAGCGCAGCCAGTTCAGCCCTTCCAGCTGGTAGTCGTGGAGGTTGCCTCCGCAGGCCGAGATGAAGGCCGGCTGCTCCTCATACTTTTTCTTCGGCTGTCAGGGGGCAAAGAAAAATACTTAAAAATCAGGACATTAGATCCACAACAATTTTTTTTGGGCGGGGGTCTAAGCTGCTGGCGTTGTACCCCGACACTGTATTTCCAAGCATGTTAGGAATGTATCATCCAAATGACATATTATGGGAGATTCAGAATTCTTTCAAGGGTCTATCACCTGAATATTAAATCACATCTGTTTTTCACACCTTTTTTGTTACTCGCGATTCGTGACTCGGTCTCTTTTCTTTTTTAAAGAGGTACCTTGAGACGAGGACACAGTTAAACTTGAGTTTAATCTCACAGAGGTGCACTGTGGGAAACACTGAATAGCAAATTGGATGAGTGAAATTCAGCCAGTCATTTTTGGCTGGTAACCCGTTCCCTGGTGAAGCTTTTTTTTTCTGATTAGAGCAACAAAGACAGGTGTAATGCCTGAACCAAGTGTCTGGGCACAAACTACAAGTTTGGGCGTGATGGCCGTCTTGGGAAATCTAATCTAATCTCATTTTTGAGTGTTATGGTTCTGGGAAAATCCGGTTGTTTCAACTTCACGTTTCAAACAGTGTCCTCCGCCCGTCGACGTCAAGTTCAAATAGCTGGCTCTTCTCAGCACCAAATAATTGAAAAAAAAAAGAGATTCATTTCCTTAGTGGTACCGAAACCCTTTCATACTTTGTTCATGTCCACCGTGCAAACCTACTAGTTTAACCCTAACACTCCTCAGTCCTCCAACAGGTGAAGGATTGAGGAGTGTTAGGGTTAAGATTGCAACTTGTGTTGTTAAGATGAGTGGAAGGAAGGTCAGCAGGAAGAGTGTCATCAAGTGTTGGTGTGTTTCGCTGGAGTTGGGCCAAGGTTGGTCAACCAAAACAGCCCAAGTCATTGCCAGCGTTAAATCAGAAGGTGCTCATCATGACCCGTAATAACCCAGCAACAAACCCAGCAAATTTAACGATTTACAAAGGAATTCTTCATTGACTACTCTAATCATTCACTACTTCTTAGGACCTTCTTAGCAATTTTTAAAAAAAAATCAGTCACGTCATGGTGTTCTACAAAAACAACAAAAGATCATGCAAAGGATGATCAACACAACTACATACAAATTAATAACCCATGTCAGAACTGAACAAACCAGCCACAGAATGGTTCACAGACAGGCTGACAATATCTGCTCACTGTACAGAGATCTTTCTCAACGTAAATAATGCTTTCAGGCAAAGCGGCTTCGATCCTCACGGGCCAAAACGGAAATAACGGCAGCAAACGCTGATGCACATGACAGTCTACTGACTAAACAACTACAAACATTACTCATTCACATGACACATTCTCCATTCTGGAATGAAACATTATTTGGTCGGTTACTTCCATGCAAAAGAAGCGGACACACATATCTACGGAACAATTTTGTCATGAAATACTGTTCAACAGAATAGTCATTACTCAGTTGTGGCTGAATTACAACGGAAGCAAACAAAAACAACCCTTTCTGCAGTTGCAGAAAGGGTTGTTTTTGGGGCTCGAAAATCATGACAATTTTTTCAAAGGAGGTCTTTTTTTTTTTTCAAAAGTCAACCTAAAATGATAAGGCAATCAAATGGACACAATGGATGACTTCTGCTATCAAAGAGAAGGTGCTTCAGAATGCGAACTGTTTAAAAAAAAAAGGGAATTTTAGTGGAAGAAAATGGCGGTTAAATTGATTTTTTCCCCTTGATTTTGTGTCTCTGTTTTGCTGGGCTCAAGGCAGTGTTCACAATTTCTCCCACCATTCTGGGAGGAAATACACAGAACGAGATCAGACTTGAGAAAGTTCTTTGGCCATGCAGAAAATTAAAACTCGGAGAGCAAAGGCACAAGCTGCATGAGGCTGACAGGAACTATGGAGCACTGGACAGGGATTACGCTGAGGGAAGGGGGGTCTGAGTCATGTATGATGTCACAATGACAACTGGAACGGGGAAGAACTGCAACTTTGAGGGGACAGCTGGAGGAATTTTCTCTCCTCTAAGGCTCTTACAGAGAGGACAATGTTTACCTCAATTGAAGTTTTTTTAAATGAAGACACAAAACAAGAAATGAAACGGCAAAAGACTTAGGATTTGGAAGTCAGATTGGTGAGAGTAACCTCTTTTGCTTTTAGACAAAAAATGGGGTTTTGTTATTTGGATTTGGTAAGAATTGTTATGGTAATTCTGGGGCTGATCAGGGGATCATCTCTTCTTGCAAATAAACCCAGCCATCAGCAGAACTGAGTGATCTCTGTTTTTTGAAGAGATCCCGTCTCTCAAAACAAAGCAAGAGCGTTTCAGAAATTGAAAGGAACAAGGAAGTTGTAGCTTCCCCACGGCATGCAACACGGTTCTGTTATAATGTCAATAAACTGAATGAGGGGAAGGAGACGAGGGAAGGGGGTTTAATAGGAAACTAAAAATACAGAAAATAAAAAATACAGGCGTCTACGATGCTGGGATTGCTATTTTGCGAGCATCTGGGGAGGTCTGTTCTGTTTGGTTTGTTTTGGGAGGGAGGGGGGGTTCTCGGCATGACATCCAGGCAAGAAAAGGTTTGGTTTCCTTGAACTCACGTCCATCTTAATCTCTTCTCTGTCCTCCTCGTCTTCCTCGTCCCGCCTCCGCTTGCCCTTAAGGTGGGTGGATGGGAGGGGGGGGAGTTTGGATGAGGGACAATTTAAATGGCGTTATATACACCGGGGGGGGGCCACCCATGCTGCCAAAAACTGCAAAAATCTGACAGAGCAAATGGTGTAGTATCACCTACAGAAATTTGCAGGGTGAATTCGGGCCGTTCTTTTAGGGCAAAGCATGAGTGTGACTATTTAAAAGAATTGGCAAAAGTGTGAACTGGTTCAGACAACAGTTATTTGCCCAGCAGGACCTTCAGTGCCAAGTCTGTGGGGTTTGAATCGGGTGAAATTCTTGGAAAGTCTAGCTGAAGCCCTCTTCACTCTGAACTTTACTGCCGACCGACGCAAAACCAGATTTTACATAATGTAAAGGACCAATCCCTTAAGCCTTACCCCATTGCCTTCTAGCCCATCACAGTTGTGATTTTATCTGTCCAACGTGTGTGTACAAAAGTCAGACATGCATGCACGCGCAGGGTGGCATTGGAGAAGAGCATGTGATAAGTGCTCGCATGCACAGTGGGCGGGGCTTACTGGATCGGTCTATAGTTAGCACGCCTGCCGCGCACTATGCAGAGTGGGAACTGAACTGCGGCTCCAGCAGATGCTCAAGAAGCAACATTGTTCCAAGGGTGCATTCCAGCATGTCTGGGGTTACGTGAACACCCACAGCTTTGCAGCCCACAAAAACCCTGTAAAGTGATCTTCCAAAAACGGGGGCAAAATTTAAGCCCAAACCCAAGGATTGAGAGATTACTCCTTTTTAAGGTAAAGAGGTTTGTGGTAGCACCATGCAGGATATCTGACGAGCCTCCTCACAACGGACAAAGCATGCTGTCTGAAACGTTGAGTACCCCATGCTGTCTGAAACGTTGAGTACCCCATGCTGTCTGAAACCTTGAATACCACGCGGTTCTTTTCAGAAATACACATACTCGGAGAGAGATAACCTTGCATGGTGCTACTGCAGACCTACTTGCCAACTTCACCACAGAAACCTTCAAAACAGAAATGATTCCTGATCTTGACGTTACCGAACCGCAAAACATCATACGTACACACCCTGTGTGGACATTCCTTTGCTCTCCTGTGGTTAAGGTAACTCAGGGAAAACGCTCCTTTTCTCCCACTAGGATAACGATTTCAAGCTTTAAATGCGTTGATGTTTGATGACGATTTCCTGAACTGCTCGTCTTCATTTGCTGCGAGTAACCCTGACCACAAAATCCTCCTGAAGCTGTTTTTCAAAGAGGGGGAAACATTGTGTGTACGTGTGCGAGTCCACGCAATGCCATCGCACCCTACATTATGTGGACTCCTCTTTTGTGCAGAGGTCCACACTATGTATGCCATGCCTACACCCATATTTTTACGGGATTCATATTGTTTGAATGATCCTTGATCCACTTACAGCCGGCCAATCCCTACTTACCCGGGGCAAAGACAGGGCTAAGACTGCACCTAGAGGACAATTAAATTCCATGACTTTTCCAGGACCAAATTATGAAAATCCATGACCCAATAACGCAATTCCTTAGACTAGTCAGACTTTTAAAGTTGCAAATAAAATCACGCATTTCATCACTTATTTCTCATAACAGAAATCGCACACAGTGTTTGAAATATTCCATGACTTTTCCATGACTTTGGTCATTTTTACAAAATTCACTGACTTTTCCAGGCCTGGAAAACAAAAACCGGTTTCCATGACTTTTTCTAACTTTTCCAGGCTCCAGGAACCAGACAAAGAACAACTTTTTACACTACTTAGTACCAAAGCTATTCAAAGATTTTATCACGCTCCGCTACATTATTTGCTTGGAGCCCCCCCCCCATGTGATGAGAGCATTCCTAATATTTTGAAGCCAATTTCATACTCTTCACCAGGGTTTTGAGTGCACATCTGATGTCCCACACCCTTTGCGGCAAGACTCGCCAGGGTTGAAATGTGCTCAACTAAGGCAAGCTCACAGCATCAATTATCGACCAGGAGATTACAAACGTCCCATTCACATTACCTTTTGCGCCGAGTATCAACCAGACCTTTCGGCCGCATCCGACCAACTTGACCCCTGCCGGCAAAAGCATGTGGGCATACCGGGGAGCCACCGTCTAGTAGCTTGAGCCATGTCCCCAAAGTGCATTATGTTCCTCTAAGCTGCAGCCTGCCGGTTCCGACAGGGCCATGCTCATTGGCACAGGGGATATTGACACCTTCCCCCTGCCCTGTGGTCAGGTACACAGAGAGGCTTAGAGAGTTAACGGGGAGGGGGGGGGAGCCACTTACATCCACTTTCTCCTCCTCTTCTTCCTTCTCCTCTTTCTTGGTCTTTTTGCCCTTTCCCTTCTTCTTTTTGCTTAGTTTGCTGTCCAAAGGCGCGTGCATGCTCCTCCTGAGTGGGCAAACAAGTACATGTACGTGCAAGAGACACATGTAAACAGCGCGGTCAGAATGTAGCAGTGCCAAGATACTGTCATCCGTGTTCATCTGAAGTGACATCAATTTCACACCATGGGATTGTATGTGGGTCCCCACTCGGCTGCCTGGGTTCTTCTTAAAAGTTTATGATCACGATCTTCTTGTTTCCTATTTCGTTGTGCATGTTTGAGGTACCACTGCCGGTGGGGGGGGGGGGGAATACCGCATCAGGTACGTCGCAAATAAACTTTGAGCCCAACAACGGGGGGAGCAGGCCACACAGCGTGGAGTAATGCGGGGAATATGCATTTGGCTACTTCCACAAAAAAAGCCTGAAAAACAAGGCAGCACCAGGGACCACGAAGGCACTGTCGCGTCTTCCACTGGGCTTCCGCAGCAGGGGCATTGTCTATTGTCAACACATATCCCTACATTAGCAGGAGGCAAAGATCTGGCTATAACTCTATACACAAAATCTGGAAGCGGCCTCAAATTCAATTGTGTGGGCCCAACAGCCTGCGGCAGGCAAAAAAATACCTTACGAAAAAGAAACTGCACATTGCTTGTCTTACTTGTGCGAGTTGTAATACTCAATGTGCTTGCGTCCGTCGGGGATGTCATCTAGCAGGTCCTCCTCTTCCCAACTGCAGTTGTCGTAGGTGAGGGAGCGCCACTTGATCAGGTACAGGGTCTTGCCTGAGCGGGGACGCACCTGCTTGTTGATGATTCTGGGAGGCGGGTGGGGGGGAGGAAGTGGAGTGGAGGAAGCAAGAAGCAACAGCTGTGAGTCTAGATTACACTGGGCCCAATTTGATGCCGTTGGTTAGCACAGGGCTGTACAAAAGAAACAAGCGCGTCTTGATCTAAAGCCACTCCAGCTGGACGCTCCGTCGGCAGAATCCAGAGGTTCATAAATCAGATTCGGGGCCAATCAAGGATCTGCTGCCCATCTCACCTGTGGATCTGCAGCCACTCGGGCTGGACGCCGTAGCGGTAGAACTTCTCCTCCAGGTTGATGTGGTGCTCGTCATGGGCCTTGTTGCCCTGCTTGTGGCGCCAGTTGCCCCCGTAGGTCTCGCCGTCCTCCAGGGGAGGGGGCTCCTCCATGTCAAACTTGCGGGTGTAGTTGCGGTACAGGATGATGTGGAACACCTCCATCTGTAGGACACAGCAAAGACGATAAAAAAGGACTTACAAGAACAATGAAACGCAAGAAATTGGGCATTAATTTCCAATCTTTGTTTTACCATTTCTGAGGGTATTTCTCAATCTTTTGCCTTAATGCTCATACTAATGTGCATTATTCATGATTCATGAATACCTCAGACAGTCTCCCTATTCAACAACGTGCAACTTGACTGTGTATTAACATTTGATAATGCACACTGAGAAGTGATAATGCCTGCTGCGTAAATCACGCACTGGCACCTGGATACAAGACAGTTTAATTGATTCTGAATAGTCAAAAGTCCTTGTACACACGGCTCATCACGCACGCGCCAATTGGACAATTTGCACAAGGAATGAATAAAAAAAAAATGAAAGTAAAATGCTAGAACAAAATCACTGGAAATCCATCATATATTGACTTCTTTTGACTCTCTGACTAGAAAGGTATTTATGAATATTTCCTGAAGTTGTACCTGTACTCCGCCGCTGATCATTATTATGGAAACGGCACACTGTAGATCTCCAATTATTAGTTTATCTGGACATCCAAACGAAAAACGACCTGCATGTTGTGAAGCCCGAATGAGCAATGCAGACCCTTTCCGTGCGTCTTACTTCACCCTGAACCCCCAAGGTAAGTGTCAAACACTAAGTTCACATTGGAGTACTCAAGACTTGGGGTTATAGTGGCCAATCCTACCTGCAGCTCCGAGACCCAGTCACAATGCCAGTAGGACAAGCCATGGAATTTACAGAAGAACTCCCTGGTGGGCTTGACGCCAGGCTCCTTCTTGGTGGGGCTGCCACACTCCGGGTCCAGGGGGTCGGTGTTGACCGGGGGCGTGGTCCAGCGCCAGGTCAGGATCTTCTGGACTTTGCCCTTGGGCGGCTCGCACTGGTCAAATTCGGATCAAATGTAACAAGTGAGGGGCTTTGGCTTTAGTTTTACTTGTGTATCATACAAACTTGGTGCCGGCTGATTTAGGCTTGTAGTATTGGCTGCAAAAATGAGCAGCATCAGAGGCCAATCAAGTGCATGAATGTCTGTGTGTGCACATTTAAAGGATCCAGGAAATGAAGTTTTCTTAGAATCACTTTTTCAGTCACTTAGAAGACTGATTGACAGGGGTGAGACCGGACCATAACAAAAAATCCACAAACTTCACTTGGTATTATTTGTACATGTACACATACATGTACAGTACATGTGCATGTTATGTACATGTACTGTACATGTATATGTGTATGTACATGTATACATACATGTAAATGTACATGTACATGTGTGTATACATGTATGTACTGTACATGTACTGGTAAGGTACATACATGTACATGTAGGCCAACTTGTACGTGTGTAAACATGGTAGGCCTAAATGGCATGCAGGTTTTGTCATGTTCATTAACCCATGCACGTATGCTCATTACAATGTACACAACATATACATGTACTTTCCATGTACATATATCCTAATCCTAAGTTACATGTATGAATGATATTGAATATGGACATGTACGACATTACTAAGGAGTTCCATGTTTTTTCTCCTGAGTTAAAATTTAAGAAAGATTAGTAAAAAGCAAGCAGTTTGCAGCAGTTTTGTATTTGTTTTAAAAAACAAATTTTAAAATTCAAATCATTAGCCCAGACATTGTTGATGCACACCTACAGCATGCCATGTCCTTTAAGCCTCCAACATCGTACTACAAGCATCTGCAATGCCCAAACTTATCAATCTTTAACATCTTTTTCGAGTTACGTGAACTGAACGGTGCACTATTTCAAACATGAAAATCGACCAACCATTTCTGGACAAGTGAGGGCCCTTTGCTCTGAGGTAAATCCAGGTAAGTTTTTATGTTCAAATTGTGAACCCCAAATTTGTTATCTGGGAACATTTCTGTGAAAAGGATTTTTGCTGGATTACTGCCATACACTTTCACAGCAATAAACTGCCAAAGAAAATGAAATCTGCCATAGCAGTGGTTAGAAAAATCTAGAATTTTTCAGTGCAGAAAATCAGTGCTACACTGAGATTCAGTGCCTTGAATAACATCAAAGTTCTGCTCATGAATATGCAAATATGCATCTGCATTAAAACAAAAAAAACATCAAAATATGGGTTAAAATTGCAAAACAAAAATTTAAATTAAGGTCAATTGAAGCCCAAAGATGCAATGTCAAGGGGTTTTAGTAACATTTATAAAAATATTTCTATTTTCTGGTTCCTTTAACTAAAAATGGAGGACAGTGAGACAATACATGTGTCTTCTAAACCCTTCTTTCTCTGCCAAAACTTCACATTCGACACAAAATACAGCAAGACTTGTGCCACCCAGCAGGCTTCACTTTCCACCCCAAGTGCCGGCCAGAATGCCAGCCAGCGCTGGCTGGCACGTTTACACTCCCAGGTACCCCCTCCCCTAGTCCCTACTCCTACCCAGCCGAGCCCAATCCCCAAAATGCTCCCCACCATCCGCCAACCCTGCTTGGCTTACCGAGCACCGCGGGCAGACCCACTCCCCGTCGGGAATCTCCTTGAGCGGGGGGTTGAGGCAGAAGATGTGATAGGAGGAGGGGCACTGGTCGCAGCAGAGCAACTCCCCACCGTCCTTGCAGACGCGGCAGAATTCCATGTGCTCGTCCTGTTCCTCCTCCTGGACAGGTACACCTTCCGTTTCCTGCAGCCAATCACACGAGTGTCAGAGCAACCCAACCAAAGCACTGCATCTGGATCAGTCAGTCTTTTCTTTTTTCCGCCACTGGCCTCAGTGTAGACTTAATTACTGCGCAGAGCTTATTATGAAAATCATATCTGAACTTGGCAAATTGACTGTAACAAGGTTGTGTTTGAAGCCCAATCAGATCAACAGAAATTATTGCCATCATTTCTATACTATTTAAAGCCAAAATTGAACAAAAAACTTGTTGTTCTTGAAAGAATGTATCATTTTTTGAGATCAAAATCAGCTTGTGAAGAGCAACAAAGTACTGGGAAAAACCCAAATCAGAGCAAAATCAGGACTATTGCAGGACATTTTTACGCCTGTCGGTATAACCAAGTGGACGCCAGTTCCCAGCCCTGTGTTTCATCGGGTGCTTCACTGACACGGTTTACTTGCGCACAGTGGTAAGATTAGTTCTTGCTATTTCATATGCCAGACTATTTCCGACTTTCAATGCTCAACGGTCCTCGATTTTGGGAGACTTTCTTCCACTTACACAGTGGGGACAGCTCCACTTGCCCTCGGGGGCTGCGTCCAGCTCTGGGTCCAGGCAGACCAGGTGATAAGCCCGGTGGCAGGTGTCGCACAGGATGATCTCCCCTCCCTGCTGGCACACCTCGCAGTAATCCTGGTGGTCAGTCTGGAAAAGAGTAGCAGAGAGCCCAGCGTCGTATCACACACGTTTCAAAGTCAGGACTCAATGACTGTGGTGCAGGGGATTCAAACTAGCCACTTGACCCCCAGCAGGTCAGAGGTCAAGCAGCAAGACGAGCAAGGGTACGCTTTGGTTGCCATGACCAGGAACTGACCTTACTGACAGGGAAGACATTTCTGATCGTGTTCCTAGAATCCATCTACGCAGAGTCTGTGAAACTGGGTGGAGCCCTATTTTGGGTTCCACTCCTGGCTTTCATTTTAGTATTTATCAGCATAAATCATATTAATTTGCAATAAAGTTTTATTTCCTTACTTTCATTTTCATTCTCAGGTCCCCCCCCCAAAAAAATAAGCCTCACTTTCAATTCAAAACGGCCAACTTGAAAATAAGGCCAGCTGCTTCTCTTGTTTTTGAGTTCTGCAGATTTTTTGCAATCTGAACTTGGCAACCATTGCATGCGATGATGCAATACTAAAATCCCAAACCAAATTATCAAAAGAGCAATAACCCCATCAACGTTTTCGTTACAACTGTAGAAGAGCACACCCCAAGGGTTAGTGAGCTCACGACCTGCTTGAGAACTAGAGGAGGTGAACTGACCTCGTAGCCGTCTTCCTCGGAACCCTTCTTCTTTTTCTTCTTCTTCTTGGCCGGCGGCATCTTCTTGGGGCGAGGCTTCTTGGGCTTGCGAGCCGAGGAGCGGCTGGCAGAGCTGTCTGACTGGACCGAGGGGGCGCTCTTGGCCTCCTCGTCCGACAAGTCGCTCGGGATCTGGTCGCTGAAGTTGCTGCCACTGTCGCTCTGTGAAAGAGTGGAAGAATGGGGGAAGTGCAGCATAGGGCCTACTGATGGCAATGCCGAAGAACGGCAATGGATAATAAAAGCAGAGTTAATTGCTTACACTGGATGGATGCGCTTTGTGGCCAAAGGACAGGATAAAATAATGTTTCCATCCTAAACTAATATTTATTAAGCCACTTCTAACAGATATCCACAACCCCATACACACACAAAAGACAAAACAACCATTTCTTCTCAGCATGGATACAGGGTGGACCGAAATGGACAAGTAGACATTCTGTGAAGCAAGGCTCTGTACAAGGGTAATTTCAGAAATTAGAGGTCCATGTTTTTGGTGTCCCTGTCACATCTGACACATGAATTTTTTAAAGTTCAGAACACATTCTCTAATTTCCAAGAGTGATGAATTGATGCAAAGTACCTGCCAGACAAATAGTAATAGTTTGAAATCAATTCCGGTGATATTTCCTTGCCAAATAACCCAGGTCAGATGTAACAGGGACAGGAAAATGTCACACTTTTTGGGCCCCTACTTTCTGGAATTACCCACAAACATGTAGGACGAAATAAAAATGACCAGCCCTCTCAATTATGGTTTACTGAAGTTACAAGAGGGACGACACGCTTTATTCATTTTCTGGAGGGCAACATTTCAAGCCTATGAAACCAACATTTTCAAATTACCTATTTCTGATGTTCAACTTTTGCCGAATCACAGAATCAATCAACCAATCAATTCCACTCACTCAACAGATTTTCATTGGCACTTCTTGGAGGGGAGGGGATGATTTGCTCCAACGTGACTTACCGAGGAATGGGCTTTTCTCTTTCTTCCCGACTGGCCCGCAATCTTAATCTTGAGTGGTGCCACTTTCTTCTTTTTTCCCTTGGACTTGTCTTTACTGGCAGATTTACTCTTACCTGAAACATTTCCAAAAAAAAATAAAAAGCCAATCAAATCTTACCGTCTACCCAACAAGACAGTACATGCAAACGGCACAAATCACAGTCAGAAATTGAATTTCCAATTCAATCAAAAGTGGATGCTTTTGAATAGTACAAAACTTTTAAAAGAAAATGCGAAGCCAAAAACCTGACAAGCAGCTCCACAGCATGCTGCAACAGAATTTGGCATGTGACCTTGCTTGTATTTCTGACTTAACAGCTGATGGTGCAGCACGTTTTGTTCCATTCCACACTCTGTACACGTAATAATGCACCTGCAGTAGCTGAACAGAGCACTCGTTATCTATTTTACTTCAACCTACATGTATGCCAGTAATGATAAGGCACTGAATTAAGGTTTTGGTTATAAAGTTAAAACAAGAGACGTAAAATTCCCATATATATCCAAAAGAACAGTGCCCAATGATCAGCATAACTTCAATTTGTTATGCTACACACCCACAGGGAAACCTCCTCTGTACACATCCTGTGGAACAACAGCACTGGCCTGCAAGATGGCAGCCCTGCAAACCCTCTATATTCAATGCAGTCTTTGATAAAACCCCTTTCCATCTCACCTTTGGGCTCCTTGATTTCCTTGGCTTCTTCCGCATCGCCATCTCTCTCGTCCTCCTGCTGCTGTTCCTCCTCCTCCTGGGCTGCCGCCACCGTCGCCTCCTTGGCAGCGGTCGGCGGGGGAGAGGCCTCCTTGGGAGCCTCAGGCGAGGCCAGGATCAGTTGGGGCGGTGGGGGTCGGACGGTGCCACGCTTGGGGTTGCTTGCGGCAAACTCGCGCCAGAGGGAGGCCAGCAGTGTGGTCATTTTGGTCATGGGCAGATTGGGGGCATTCTCGATGACCAACGGGCGGACATGCTGGCAGAAGAGCTTGTAGTTGATCAGGCTCTCATAGTCGGCATCCATGTACTCCATCTCAAACTCCTCAATTCCAAACTCCCGCATCAGCTCCAGGGAACTCTTGGGACCCATGTCTTTCTCCTGTAACAAATGCCATTATGATTAAATAACTGCATGTATTTCACGTATGTATTTCCAATGCTTTCCTAAAACATAGCCACATGAACATCAACATATTTTTTGATTGACAAGAGGTGTGGTCACAACATGTTGGAAGGATGCTAAAATTATTTGGTATCTAATTTGGGGGAATTTCATGATATTTCTGTATTTTCCAACCTGGTAAGGAAGATGTCTACCAATCAAATTTCTTGAGGACAAGACCAAATTTATGCCAACATCAGACTGATTGGACAGTGCAAAGAATCACATATTGCCCAAAACCGACACATTTATAACAGCCCTCGTACAGCATAAGCAACAATGTTTCCTTTCAAATTCATCAGGTTAAGTTGTAAAGCTCTTGAATATAAAAGAGATGTGCTTAGAAAATGAAAGACAATGCATATTGCAGTGAATACACAATGGACAAGACACTAGAAACCTTAACAATATATGAATTCCATTTTCCCTTGTTGGATTAACTACTTGCCTTAGGAGTTGTGTCTTTCTTCTTTTTGCTCTTGTGTTTAAAGATGATCTCGCCATCGTCACTCAGTGGGGAATCACTTTCCTGGAGTTGCAAACCATCCGAGACGAGAAGATTTAAAGATTTAAACTAATACCAAGTGCTGCAAAATCCTCAAACAGCATACTCCGAACCCTAAATCCTTTACAAAGATGAAGACTTGATTTGTGGCATGACACAGATGCAGTTTCGTCACAAATTTTTCCACCAAAGTTAGGACCTGACAAAATTTCTGGAAAGCCATCCTTGCAATGCATTCAATGCATGACATTAGTCATGCTTCAATATCACAAGCTCTGTCCGCACTGTTTTGGTAAAGCTGACCGAGACACTGAGCACCTTTCCCATTTTCAGTCCACAGCGGACAGCCTGGGACGTGTCTTCATAGTTGCTTTTCCTGAGTCCAGAGGTTACTTCTACTAGGCAACTGCTGCTCAGAAAAACTGGCCAGATACACGTAACCTTTAAGGCCTTAATTTCATTTTTTTTTAGGGCACTGCCATTCGGGCTGGCTGAAATAAAGGGCACTTTAAAGGTCCTTTCCCGAGACAATATCAAACTCCGGTGAGGACAGTGCTCGTCAGCAAGAGCAGCCCTGAAAACTGTACATCTGGCCTGAGCACAAGGTACAGGGACACCACATGTACTCTTTGCATGTTTGTGTGGCATTGTGTTGCATATGTGGCAAGTTTCTAATGTGTTGTTCCTCGTTTGGTCGCAATCATGGCAGGTATAATGCTTAAAACAGTCGCAAGTTGGACTGATGCTAAAACTTCATCATTCCTACAAGTAGATGACCACGAAGGACGTCAACTTCGTGTCTTGCAACGAAAGAAAGCACAAAACTAGGATATATGTAGAAAGGTCAAGCAAAGCGCCCTCATGAGTCATTACATTCACGGCTCCATTACCTCTCCACGGTCTCGGTAAAATTTTCCCGTGGCAAAAGTCCAATTACATACACGTACACTCTCATACTACAGCGACCACATTTTGACCATTTTCATTGTACTACCTTCCAAAAAAAATCCAGTGGACAGGGCTATTAACTGTAAATATCCCCATCCACAAGACCGCATGATACACGAGTAACACAGCTTTCAATCATAGAGTAATTCCTTGCTCTATGCTTTAACCCTAACCGCCAAGCATATTGTTTGGCTTACACTACACAATACTACAAAATACTAAGTACTGGTCTGGGCCTGAAGGACCTAGCGCTACAAATTACTAATTCTGGCTAGGTTACTTTTATTGTTACTTGTAAAGAGAACAATAAAGCCATGCATTCATAGTGCCACAGCACTGTATGGTGCATTGTCTTAACTATTGTATTTTATGGCTTCTGAGAATAAGGTCATGACCTCTGACAAGCGCCAGCACTCAGTACTACATTTTACGACAAGTAGTAATTAGTAGTATTATGTAGGGTTAGGGTTACAGACTCACAATAACAGCGACTACTCACAGCAGCATCACACTCCTGATGCGCATGCATTATATGCCTCTTTGACAAACAGTGAGTTGCAAAATGCACCTGCAACTTGAGCTTTAGAAATTGCATGTGATTGTGATGCCGCCACAGTAACGTGTCTCCTGGAATCAGTCTGTATGTGCGGCTTTTTTAAAATCTGATTTCTTTCTAAAAGGCAATAAAAGCAAAGACAGTTTCTTCAAGCTAAGGTAATAATTATCCTCCATACTGGATGATCGACAGTCAACGCCATGCCAATCTGTTTAACCAAACCAATTTATATAATAAAACTTATCATTTTTGTTGACATAAAATTCAGACCTCTTTCTGTTGCTCATAAGAAGGCTAATCATTGTTGTTTTGCACCTGGAAAAACCTGTCAAGTGAGGGCGCACCTTCATTTTTATACATATAATCCATTGGTGAGTTGCGTTTCACCGACTTCCTCTGCATTTTATTTACACAATTTTCATACATTTACAGACTTGTGTTTAAGGTTTGTACAAGATTTGAATCAATAGTGCTGAATATTTAGCCAGCTACATCTGGAATTTTGAATTGGTCAGTTTGTTTGCTTTGTTTGCTAAATTTAGTCAAAAAGATACAACTCAAAAATTCCCTCCCCTCCCCCGAAAAAAATTTGTATGTCATGACGTTACACTGCGTTTACGGTACATGCAACAACCCTGTCCGCAAACATGTCTGAACCCAGTCGGACTTGTAGTTTTCTAGTTACAGATAATGTAGGTCAGTTCACACTTGCTGCAAAAGCAAGTTTACACGATCTCCATTTTGTGATGTCCAATCAGATGTTCAAGCTGCGAATCTACATACATTGTGACATTTCAGCTGGAAATTTCACCGAAAACATTTCGTGACATCAAAGTCGCTCTGCTTTTGCATTCACCTAAATTACCAATCAGCTTGTAAGACAAAACGTGATGTACCACCACAATGTCATTGTAGGAGAACATGCTAATGGCTTATGTTAATTAGCTTATGTTAGCATCAAAACTGACTACCCTTCCAAGTCACACACTACCTTTCCAGACAGAGTTCTTAAAAAAATGTAAGCTGTGTAAGTGAGCAAGACTTAAAGTCATTCTGAAGGTAAATAAATTGTCAGCACAATATTTTCTGAATCAGGGTTGATGTTTTGATTACTGTAATTGTAATCAGCATAATTTATGCTAAGTCTTGGCTCAATTTTTTACATGGAATGTTTTTTAAGCCACTGCTGAATTTTTCAGTTCGGTTTTCACTGGCCCTGTTGTGATGCCAAAATACTGAAAGAAAAGATTACTTTCAGACAATCATTGCTTAACAAAACACAGATCATAAGTACGTACGTACATAAAATTTGGTTTAATATCATAAAACAAAGGCTGGAATTTGAAAAAGCCATTTAAAAATGTAAAACAGAAACCGCTCTTTTGTGATAAAATTTGTTTCATTTCAAACTGAAAACAAACAAGTCCAAAACTGATGCAATTTCTCTAATGTACATGTACATGTTTTGCAATAACTGTAATGTTACCCTTTCCAAAGACATTACGTCAATTCAAGAGAATATACAGGTATAAAAATCGTAAAATAAAAACAGGATATCATGCAACAAGGAAGTCACTAGTTGCAGCATGTCAAGTCTATCATCAAGTCTATAGTATGAATCAAAATGTTTTCATTTTGAAATTCATATAGAAATAAGATGATGGATGAAATAAACAAGACTTGTAAATTTTTTTAAGATTACCCTTTACTAGTCCTCAAACATTAAAAAACATTGCCCACCAAAACTCCAGAGCAAAGGAGCCATGCATGCTACTTCGAGCAGACAAAGTGTAAACGCATGACACACCGCCAACAAGACGTGCACAAAAGCGGACTGCATGTACTGAACTTGGAACTTACCCCACCACTTTCTCTGTCCACAGACCGCTTACGTTTCTTAGATTTTCCTTCTTTGCGCTTCTCTTTTTTTGTTTTCTTGCTCTTTTTCTTCTTGGAAGGGGGAGATTCTTCGGCTGAAATTATTTGAAAAAGAGCTTAAGTGAGGAAAAATGCACACGAATTACAACGATTTTCCTTTTACGCCCCGACCGTTTTCGTCAAAACCCGCACAATCAGAGAACACCACTCGTTCATTCACGTTAGGCGTACGTGCGTGCGTGGCAGCTGAATAATTACTTCCCTGGGATAATTATCTCAAGACAGATCAGCAAAAATCTTCGACACTTTTGGAGAGGACATTTCCTCCAAAAACCCCAAACACACACACCACCAATATCAATGTACACCAGAGGACAAAATACGATGGAAAAGGCGATTGGATTGCACCCACAGAGCGAGTTTAATCTCCTCGAGTTCACGTTGTTTGGCGACGAACAACATGCATCGATTACGTTCGCGATGACCGATAGACCTTGACCAAAATTCACATGCCGCGCACCACATGGCATTGGGGAAATAAACTCAGTATTTACGACAGTGGAGGAAAATTCTTTCCACCATGCAGTCGCGTGGACACGGGAATATCATGCTTCCACTACTATAATTCTACGAGGGGATTCTGCCAGAATTCTGATAGTTTAGGGCCAATGCGATATTGCACCGAAGACCAAATTGTCGATATTCAAAATAGGAGCGTTCACTTTACCAGGATTGACATGTCCGCCTTCGGTAGGTGCACTCGTTCCATAATCAACAGAATCGTCCATTTCAAAGGAGTTTTCCTCGCCGTCTTCCTCGTTTCTACCAACTCCTGGCATCCTGGCCTGGTAGTTGGACACCTCCGTGGTGCCTACAGGTCCTGAATGCGAAAAACAGACGAAATGAAAAAATAAAATCCTATTTGGAGTGAGTGTCAGTCCCTCTTGGACCGGGGGAAGGTGCGAAGATGGCGCAGAATGGACAAAAAAAAGACTCACCCCCACGACAAAAGGGTGGCAAAACGGTAACTGTGCATGCGCAGTTTGACGTCACAGATAAAGATACATCCCATATTAATCACCCAAACATCCCATAATAATCACCACTTAGTTAATCAGGGTGACACAAGTGAGGAAACAAAAATACCTGGGGTGGGGAGAGGGCCAAAATAAAGACAAAACCCAGAGCCAACCAGCTTGGGTGGGAGCAGTTTTGTATACAGTCAATCAATTTTGCATATCAATTAGGGTCTTGTTCTTGAAAAGGGACCCGCAGGGAAATTTGCATAAGTTGCCAAGCGGAAACTACTCAAAAATTTATAATGTGAACCACTTTTGACTCGCAGGTAAGACGTGAGCGTGACATGTTTTCACTTATCGGGAAAAAGAATGAATTTAGATTTGCGCTAAAAAGTAGCAGAGCTCTTTATCTCAAAAGTTAGTGTAAACACACTTTCAATAAAAGGAGTTTACTCACTGATAATAAATGTCGAAACGATTAACTTGCAATTTACAATAACTTTGTTTTCACAGAAATAAAACTTTCCTATGTTTTACAAAAAGGGTCCAGAAAGTTTAGAGACATCAAAGACCTTTATCATTGGTTACGCGGATACGAGGCGAGGCAATAAAGGGATCATAACCTACAATAAGAAAACAAGACACACAAAATAAAAATCAAACAGATCGCACTAAAAATTACCAACCGAAGTATGCAGCTCTTAAAATTTTAAACAAAGTCCGAGTGGATGTGTCATCACAATGAAAAAACCAAACTTTTACAAATACAAAATGAAAAAAAAACAAGCACAGGCAATGCTACCTTTGTTTGGGTACTTAGTTAATGTTCAGTACTGAACTAAAACACACCTTCTTGTTTGTCCAGGGAAAAATAGAAGAGTGCACCACCAAAAAAGGCGCATAGCTGCCTAAAAAGTGGGTAATACAGTGGGTTTAAAGTTGATATTTTAAAAGTTTTACAAACTGAAAATCTGTGGGAGGCCTATCGTATAATGTCCACTGCTGCGGGCAAACTGCGAGCAGATCTGAAGAGCGTGATCCGAGATGGACACACACAGTATAGTGACCACTGCGCCCGGCTTCGGCTATCGGTAAATCTACGCTTTATCCTTAAGCCAGAGCACAAATAATTCACCGTTTTCTCCTTTTTTTCAATTCTGGCGTTGACAAATTTTAAAAGATGATAAATTAATACAAAACACAGAAATTATCCAAGATTCTAGGGTGGGGTTAACAGGTTTTAATAAGTTGAAACCTCTCAACCAAAATTCGTCATGTACACAAAATTGTGTGCTCTGAATCATTTGTTTAAAAAAATTGTACTTCAAGTGAAGCACTACGAGTTTCCAACTCTATATAGAAATAATAACTGTTTATCAGAGCGTCAGAGAGCTAAGTAATTTCGAAACTTTATTTCATCAATTAAAATTATTATATAGAATTTCCGTCATAAAATATCCCAATCCATCCACAGCTCAAGTGAGGCAAAAGTTTAGTTCATGCGTCTAGCGATGCTTTGATTCTTCTAAATAGCCTTTATTCAAACTTTATTCTTTTATTAATGTCATCTTTGTGCAGCTAGGCCTATTTACTTTCCAACCAGATTCTTAGTACAAGTACCGTGCGTGGCAAGCTGGGAGCTGCCATTGTGTTGCCGCTAATTGGGCGTACGTCATCACAGCAAACAGGGCATGCGCGCATTAATTACAGCATTCCGACATCCCATAATAGTCATCGCTGGGTGCTGGCATCCCATAATAGTTTTTGCTTAGGCCCTACGTGGCTCTCTGTTGCCTTGATTTTATGCATAATAAATCACCATCCGATATTATTGAGCAAACAAATGAACTTCGGGCGTTCAAGGTGATTCGCAGCATGCAATTCGGCTTGCAAGTGGGGGGCACCCAGTCATCAAAAGAAATGTCAAAACTTCATTCATTGCTTAAGCACTTCTAAGGACAGTTGTATTACGTGACTTTGAGTTTTAGTTGTCTGTCTTAAAGTGGACAAGGAATAAAACTGGAGAAAAGAGCTGCAAGTTGTTATGGCGACTGATTTATTACCAGTCTGATGAAAGACAAAATGTTAATCTATGATTGTTTGAGGCGAAAATTTTTGTTTCAAAATGATTTTTAGGCCAGACAGTCTTTCATATTTTAAACTATTTACAGTTTAATTTTCTACCAGGAGGTATACTTTGCTCGATCTTTTAAACATGCGCACCTACTGTTGCCTTCTTTGTGTTCAAGTTGCTTTTTTGCGTCCCCTCAAATATAGGCCTTGTACTTTGAAAATTCTCCCAGTGGTTGTAAATTTGCAAACGTCCTGAAGCCTCCTGTGTATGTTGAATTGCGGCCAATCGCAGTTTTGTTTTCCAATAAAAAGATCAATAGTCCTTTATTATCGGCCTTAATGGATTTTGAAAAAGCTAAAGCGTGATGTAGAAAATCGCATTCTGGGCTGGATTTTTCTTTTCACTCCAAAAATGAAAGTACCTAAAAATCTTATTTTCTGTACAACTCCTCAGGAATGGTTTGCCCCAGAAAGCCACATCAAAGTTATCTGTAATTTGTTGCTTTCTGTTAATATTCTTAAATGTATGCCTACACCTACTTTTTTAAGCTATAACGTTAGACCCGATGGAAAATCTGATTTAGAACTGACCCAGCTGAAGGTGAAATCGGAATGATGTAGAAAATCGCGTTCTGGGCTGGATTTTTCTTTTCACTCCCAAAATGAAAGTACCTAAAATGGACAGAATCTTATCTTCTGTACAACTTTTCAGGAATGGTTTGCGCCAGAAAGCCACATCAAAGTTATCTGTAATTTGTTGCTTTCCGTTAATACTCTTAAATGTATGCCTACACCTACTTTTTTAAGCTATAACGTTAGACCCGATGGAAAATCTTATTTGGAAATGACCCAGCTGAAGATGGACGACGGATGAATTTTTCTTCTTCGCTTAACTCTTCATTTTGTGAGCTGGAATTAAATTAACACACGGGCCACAGCGCAATCAAAGTAGTAAACAGACAAATTTCTGTTCAATAGAGAACAGGAGTAAACACACTAAACTCACTAACCACACTAAACAGAGCAGGCAGAGGAAAGAGGATTTAAAAATGGAGTAAGCAAACTCAACCCACTACACATATTCAACAAAGTAGGTAAAGAGGCAAGTTCAAGAAAAAAAGTATAGACACGTTTATCAATTGTGTGGCGACTTATTTAGTAAGGCACGCTTTCATGCTGAGTCAGAAAAGAAACAGTTTATTTGGATTTACGGCAGGTGGTAACTGGCAGACTAAAACTTTTTCAGAAACAATTTACCTAAATTTTACATTTGTCCCTTTCTTTCTTAGAAATCTTGAGTAAGCCGCATACAAAGAGCGCGTATATTAAGAACTGTGTCCTTTAATGCAGTCTTGCTGAGCTATCATTTAGGTTGTCGTTTTTTTAAACATATTAAAAAGGTCATTTTTAATGTGCTAATTTTAAACAGTGGTAAACAATTATCAATACTCTAAACGTGAACATTTGAACATGTTCACAAACCAATAGCAATAGAAGAGGAAGTGGTGTCATTTCAAAACCGTTGGTGTTGATTTTAACTAAACCAGTGCATTGTGACACTTGAAGGAGTACGTTTTGGTGTGGTCATCTGATAACACCCCAAAGCGTTGTTTTTAACACCAGAATTTTACAACGATCGGGAGGGTTATTTCAACCAGGGTTGCAGTGTGTTTTATCCTACTTCATGTGCTACGGGCTTAGGAATTAAACATTAAAGCCCGGTTTTTGCAGTGTTCGTTTCAACATAGCACAAGTAATAATGTAGGATAAAACATACTACAACCCTTAAAATAACTCTCCCTATCGCTGTCCGGGAAAACTGTAAACTCGGTGATCAGCGCATAGCGCCATTCCTGCGTGAGACACTGCACGTTTTCCCAGTCTGCACACGGACCATTGGGCCTGCGCAATATCCCTCGGCTGTACGGCGGATTCCACGGCGGATTGGCATGATTGGAGTGAGTCGGGCCAACTCGTGACCCCGTACAACTTGAACCTGAGCAGGCGCGCACTAGAAGCCGCTTGATATCCCATAATAATCAGCCGTGAGCACTACATCCTGCTATCTGTCGCATGTTAATTATTTATGTATGATAAACGAACATTGGGAAGCATTCGCCAAACAATTATAAGAGCTGTTGTCTGATTATACGCTTAGGTCAAGGGTAGAGGCAGCAGCACTGAATAAAAACCTTGTAAAAATATTATACCGTGAAATTTTCCCGACATTACTATTTGCTTTTATATTGTTCAGAGTTTAGCTAAACCTGTTTTGTTAATTTATGGTAGGTCAATTTTTCGGGTCATACTTGCAGGCACTGTACCAGATGCAAGCGCGCAGATGACACATTAAAATAGCTCAATGTATGTGGCCAACATTTTATCAAAGTTTACAAAACTCAGGAAGAGAAGTCTCGTGCCTGAATGTTTGCCAAATTAAAAACAGTTTGGTCTTTCAAATATACATTTCAACATTTTCAATGCACCGTAGAATTTGATGACATACATGTCGGGCATTTTATGCATTAAGATGGGTGAAGTGAACCAATTTAATATCAACTGCAAATGACGTTTACATTTTATATTAAGTACAGTGTCCACTCAATCAAGTATAGCAAACGAATGCATATTCGGCAGGGATAACAAGTTTTTAAAAATGTCTCTTTTTGTAAAAAGCTTCTGAGAACACAATCGCTCTAATGTGTCTTTTTAAGGACACAAGTTATCACAGGCAGAAAAAAATGAATGTGATTGGTCAACGTGGAAGGAATAAACTTCAAATCCCGATTTTGATTGGCCAACGTTATAGCTTATTAAAATTCACGATCATAGTCAAAGACAGAAAGTGTTTATGTTCTTGGACGGGTTTTCCCACTTTCCTTTTTCTGAAAAGGTTACGGATTTGAATTTTTCCAGAACAAATTTATTCTTATTAATCTCCAATGCAACACTGGAAAAGGAAGATTTGTTTGAACTTAATTACCGAGTTCTATTACGCACTGAGAATATCAAAATGGCCTATTTTTATCAATGATTTTTTTTGGCAAGTAAAGGAAATGCGAAAAAAAGTCCATATCATTTCGGCCCAAGGGTTATTCGAGAATGCATGCAGTATACTGAGCAGCTCTTTACATCATGCCAAAAGAGGAAGAGCTTTTCTGGTCCTAATTCATTGATCTTAGGTGTAATTTCTGCAAACTTTTCTAAGTCTTCTGTATTTTTGTCTATTCCGTTGAAAAAAATGCAGTCCATAGCGGGAAATATACCCAGCACTGATAACAAATCTCTACGTTGATGTGAAAGCAAAGCTCGATCCTTCACCTCCAAACACCCATTCCAAAATGACTTTTTGAAATACTGACTGACTCGGACAACCAGTCGAATCGAAACCACTGATAAAACATGCACGAGAAGTTAAGCCACTTTAAAAAAAAAATGTGGCTCTTACGTACCCGGCTATAGTTGGCATTCTCGGTATAAAGCGCATCACGCTCGATCTTTAATATACTCTTGTCCTTGTCTGACTATATCAGTGTCTTGATTAATTATTTGATTTCATCTGTTGTTACAGCGGATTCATAAACTGACTTGGACTTGGCACGGACTCGAGGTTTAAGTGGACAAAGGCACCGAGTTGGCAAAGCGCAGAATATGCAGCAAGGTATGAGACGGAGAGAACCCCCCCCTGCTTTGTGTCGGTCATTGTCTCGCAGGAGTCTGGGGAATTCCTTTCAGACATCTTGGGGGATGTGTTAAGTAACAAT